GCCTGTGTGTCCATTCGTATCAGCGAATCTATAATGCCACGGTGTCTAATGCAGTCATCTCAAAGCAGTCTTCTCTGCCAGCTATGTGAAAACTGGAATGGGGCTTAAGATGATTAAAGTGGCCTCCATCCACTTAGCTGTCTATTTAGGCATCTAAGACGAGTATTGAAACACACCCTCTATAGCCAACATTCAGTGTTGCTCGGTCGATGATAATAGGCTATTACAGCGGAAATTGCGGTTTATCCGCAGCAGGTCAGACTAGTGCAGAATGGCACAATAGGCGTAGCACTTCCACCTGTGGTTTTAAATAGCTAACATGCTATTGCTGCTTGCCGACTAGATTTTATTACGCTTTGTTTATTCAGCATTGCTGGCACATGATAGTGTAATTGGAACTGTTACAATCTACTTGATTGCAAATGCTACCTGCATGGCTACATGATGAAGCCATTCTTGGACATGGGCTCACCCATGCCAAACACGTAAGGAACTACCACTGTTTTCAAACATAACATGCATATTTGAAAAGTTATGTTATGCTCCAACCTCGATATAATGAACCCAGATATAACCAAGTATCGGTAATAACGAAGTAAAAGAAAAATAGTCTTGCAACAGATGTAATGTTAGGAATAATCCTTTGTAACGAATTTTCAGATATAGTTGATCCCGGATATATCAGTCTCAAAAATATCAAATTAATTTAGTTGATCCCGGATATATCAGTCTCAAAAATATCAAATTATTGGCTATATCATACAGTTGAGAAATCCCCTTGAATTTCCCATGCAAAAATGTATGAGACCAGTGCACTGTGCACCCGTATATCGATCTTCCGCACAGCGGTAAATCCGCTACATCGAACGCTGCGCCGCATCGATGTCCAGAAAGCACTTTTTATTAATAAATATTGATCAATTTTCGCAGTGTTCTAACAAGTTCCGATACCATTGCGCGTGCAGGTTGCGAAAAGGCAGTATTAGAATATATTCCATCGTGCTGATCTGGTTCGTTGCACAGCGCTTGCGAGTGCACCGATATCTTTGAAGTGCAATGTGGGCAAAAAAAGACCGGATGCTGAGGACACCCGAACTAGAATGCGAAGTGACTCTGCAATCCTAATGCAATGTTCACATTCCCTTCCTTGTTAGCGCACTATGGCATGCGAGCCTGAAAAATATGGCCTTCGAGATGTGAAATCTTGCGACGTATCTTTGATGTTCTCGGTTTTAAAACATGTCTCAGAGGCTACGCCTTTTCTAGCTTTTCACATCAAAGCAGCTGAAAGTAGCGACTGCCAGCTACGCAGCCCCACGGGAGATCGATATTGCCAACATGTCGACGATGGGAACTCGGCGTTGTCTTTTGGGCCTTCTGTACTTGTGTACTTCTCGCCTTATTTCTGATAAATCCTCATTCAGGAGTTGAATTGAACGTTGACCCGCAAGTAGCACTAAAAATTAAGACTGGCGCATGGAGCCAGTCATAAGATTTCCTTGCCAGCCAGGTGACAACTTCGGGTGCGTAATGACAACTGGCATACCGTGCCTTGGTGAATTCTGCGACTTAGCGTTTCCGGGCACCATCTCGGACAGTGAGCGATTCATTGGTGCAAACGACGAAGCAGCTGTTTCGGACTGCATCAATGCCCAGATCATGGCTGCCATTGCTGGTACCTAGCCCGTGAGGTTATGAATATGCCTTCGCTGCTGCCGCTAACCAACCTTCTGCTCCGATACAAAGCTTGCATCGGCATTCTGCGTCAACGCTGTTGTGGCCGAAGTAGCTGAATTCGCTTATTTGAAAAGCTTCAATAATATTGAGAATGACTGGAACTTGACGGTGCGCAAAAGTCAAGACAACTTTATGGACTATTTTCATGTGAGATGAAGTGAAATAAACTGCAGTTCTCAATACCTTGTTCTTTATTATACTGTGAGCAAATTTTCATGTTATCGCTTGTATTGATTTCAGAAACCTGTAATGCTCTAAGTTTAGGTCTTAAATACACATATTTTGCATTTCAAATTATCAACATATCAAACTATTTCACGGTCCCCTTCAAGTTCAATATATCCGGGATTGATTATATTACCACTGCGGTGCACTTTTTCTCTCAAAATATTCAGGCCCAAATAGACCCTTTAGAAAATACAGTCTGGCAACACGGCTCTTCCGCCATATCTTGTTCACTCGTGTGAACTGGCGGGCTGTGTGTTCCAGCGACGCCGATGAGTGTTCCTTGCAGCGAACACGGACACCGCTTGCGTTCCTGCAGGACGTGTACGGCGTTTAAACGGTACCCCAATGAGCACCCAGTGGGAGAACAAGACATGGCGGAAAAAAAGTTTTTGGTTTCGTTCAGTCGGTGGCGCTGAATTTTTAAAAGGGACTATTTAAACACGCCACCATTACACAAGAATATGTGGTAATGCTATTATAACCTTTTATCTATTACCTGCTTAACTGTTTCAGGGTCAAAAACATACAGGTATGTCCTTTGAGAACACCTTTAATATGGTCACAGACGAACATGTACTTCATTGCTCCTGTTTCAAAAGCGCGCCTTTTCTGATAATTTCTCTTGCTTGGCATACCCTGCCGCATTGTAGGACTACATAGAATTTCTTTCATAAGCCAGTCTGTCTAGCTTTTTTCTATGCTTTACTGCAGCAGTGCATAGGCTATCCTTTGCGCATTTGGTCACGCTCAGCCAGCGGCTAGTTGCGATTTCATCTTTTGGGTGGTTCCAGTGTTTTGCACCAGTAAAACTGATGGCTATCTGATTCAGATTGTCTCAAAGAGTGACCGCTTTGTTACTCTCTTCATTACTGCTCCTCGAGGCTTGATTTCACACATTTCCGTACTGGCAATAACTTAAAATATGCTACTGTGTTTGCGTTTCCTCTTTTTGGGACCCGAAAAAATTGCTCCCTGCACCTGTTAGTAATATGGAATATTTTTACTCACCTAATAAACGCACTCGTATAACAAATGCACCCCCAACTTAAGTCATCAAGTTACAATTTTTTTCCTCCTGCACAATGAATGTGCCACCCTCCCCCTACATTTATCTACTACAGTCCCACCAACTGGATTACAGTGACTCTTCGCCCGTTGAAGTTTTTTCCCACTCTTTTATTATTCCGACCCTCTCGGTTTCCTCCCTCTTCCATCTGCTCCCACAGACCCTTCTTTGTTTGTTCTTTCTCTCTGCTGTGCGCAGCACGTCCCCCTCTTTTTGAATTAGTTTTTTAAGTATGTATGTGCCACAGCAGGATTCAAGAACGATTCGAGTGTAGACACATTGCGACTCACAAGCGGACCGCAAGCGAAACTCCCGAAACTGCTTATGCAGCCCTCAGAGACTTCCTACGAATATGAGACTTTGAGGAGCCTGTGGCAAACCAGCAGGGGAGTGCATGAAGACAGCTTGCGAAAGATAGCACCATCTACCACCGAAGTTGCGATCTAGTTAATCTAGCGCATTCTTGTCATTGTAACCCTACTTTTTTTTCTCCCACGAACCATTCGCACAATCTCACTTTGTTGCGAGTTCGCTTTTAACTTGCCTTGTATTTTGTCCAGGACAGTGGGTCGAAATGTGAGCTAGACGGCCGGTTTCAACATACAAGCTGTGGAGCCTTAATGGCTTTAAGCTGCTCCAGCAGCCGTTGCCACTAGCGAATACAAAACTTGTCAACTCCAAAGTGCATACCTGTGGCCCTGATGCCATCTTTTAGTGATTGAGAAATCACTTTAACCTTTAGAACAGCCGTACAGCGATTGTATCGACCCAAAGCATAGACTAACACAGACCGCCACGAACCACTATTAAAGTGACTTACGACCTGAGCCTTGGCTTGAATTGGGCTAGAACTTCGTGCATTAACAGTATGCATGATGCTCAAGAAATTATGCTAAGCTGTCGTGCACTATCATCAGTAGTTGGAAGTAGCAGACGACATTACTGTTGCAATTATGGAAGGTGAGAATTATTGCAAAAAAAATCTCATTCTTGCAGGGCAATGTGGGGAGGGGGTTGCAAGAATTACGAGTATCAGTAAGAGAATTACGTGAGTAAATACGGACTACAGTAGGTTTCACTAGTACTTTCCTTTCTGGACACGCACACAACCATACCCCCTTTTTTTTCGAATGCACTAAAACACTCAGTTCGCTAGTGCTATAGAACACAATTGAGTCGAGCTCCGAATTTTTTGTAACTGCAAGACTTCTCTCGTTCCACGTTTCCATGCGTCGTGCACTTATTTTTTAACGTTGGTGAATAATGTTTAACGCAACACATTATTTGTAAGTTGCATAAGCATTTATTAAAAAGAATTTATTTTGCTGGCACTCGTGAATAAACCATGTGGATGAAACAACCCAACACAACCAATCTTTTTGTGACTTTAAGGTCACACTAAAATTTTTTTTTTCTGAAATGAATTTGTCTGGAAAATTTAAAGCACTAAAGAAATCTGCGCTGGGCGATTGTATTAGGTAAAAAAATTTGGCCCTCAAAGAGTTTAAGCATGGAAGTCTTTGTGTACAATAAATGCATTCTGTATTCAACTACATTCAAACAATCTCAGAGTGTTGGTCTATAACTGCCAATTTTAAAAAGCATATGCTTCCTCCTCCATTAAATTAGCGACTATCTGCATGTTGCAAATTGTAAGTCTCATTATGAAAGGCAAAAAAGAAAGCAATATAATGATTAAAGCAAAACTACCAACATAATTCAGCAACTTAAAGCAGGGACATACAATTAGGGAAAAAACAAATAACTGGAATAAAGAAAAGGCTGTCCCTTTAGTTCATGCAGTGCATACCTATGCCAGCCACTAGGGGTAAGGATAAAGTCGCTGCAAGTGGAAAGGAAAGACAGACAGGTTAGAACACCACACCACCAAAAAGCCGTGCAAGGGAACAGCGCACAGCACCAAAAAAGCCAGTGCACAAAAACCTGTGAAGAGTCCTTGCCACCTTACTTTTCGTCCTTTTGCACACCTCGCTGTGATGCCAGCCTGTCTTTGGCTGCTTGATTCAAACGTTCTGCAAGCAACTTTTGGTTCTGCTGACGTTTCTCTTCTGCCGACTGTTCTGTCTGCATTGAACAAGACACCAGGAAAACGCTCTTTCATAAACAGTGAAACCATAAAAATGATGCTAAAGGTGATGCTCGTCTCGTTTCTGCTGGCGTATCTCCCAAAACAACGTTTGAAAAGAAGCGAGCTGTTTCTTTTCACTAGTTTGCGTGAATAACTAGAATTCGGTACGCACATTAGTTTTCAGAAAGCAGGCAAAATAGAATTGTCAAAGTATACACGGCAAGGGTGGCGGGATGGGGCAGAAGGAATGTGAATATGTTGGGGCAGAATGAATGTGAATATGTTCGACACGCGCAGTCATGGTTTTTTGGCCGCTCTGGCGTTTTCATTTTCTCTTTATTTCTCAAGTGTGAACGCACCCTAACTGTCATGCCTTCAGAAAATACCTTTCAAGTGACAAGCGTTGCACAAGCGAGCGTCCTTACAAGCCACAATTTCTATGCCGCTGACTTTTTGTAACCGTACTAGTAAACCCAGGTTGTTTTGGAGCAGGCAAAAATGCATTTTCGAGCAGCAAAATTGACTTGTGGAGCATGTGTCACTAGAAGCACTTTTAAGACTCTTACTGCATCTATGACAGACGATCGATAAAACACCATTTGCTGCACGCTATTCAAGCGTAATAATAATATTAAAAAGCCCAGATAAATATCTCTAGCAGCCAACCTGACCTAGTAGAAAAAGCTGATAAATGTAGATCCATAGCACCTGGTTATAAAATGACTAAAGGTAACATGATTATCACAGATTAGTGTCCCTTTAGGCTCAAATATCGCAAAATTTCTAAAAACGTAGATTTGAGCCAAAGCATATTCAAATACTATAATAGAGTTGCTCAAATATACACCCATGCCTAGTTACAGTAAACTCTCACTTGTAAAAATGTCGGTTTAACGAATATTTCAGAATAACAAACTTTTCGAGAATCCCCGGCAATTTTCTTATGCATTCTATGTAAAAATCTTTCAGTTAAACGAATTTTAGAATAGTGAATTTTTCAGTTGAACAAACATAATCAACGGACCCAGGCTTATTTTTAAAAACAATTCAACGAATTTTTGTGCACTGCAGCACTATATAGCCGATGAGAGCCGCCACTAAATTGCCCATCCATCGGCAGTGGCGCGGGTGACGAAAACGAGTCTCGTGCGCATCAGTTCTGGCGCTCTTTTTTTTTTGTCTGTCTCATTGCCATCTGTCGGCGCCATCTTCATTTCGGGAAACAACAGCGCATATCACGTGCCGTGTGCCCTCTTTCAGAATGAGTTCGACAAAACACGAGAAGTTGACTCTGTCAGACAAGCTCAAAATCCTTCAGTATCTTGACAGCGGGCAAGTGGTCTTCCAAGTGGTCATTGCGAAGGAATACGGAATTGCACCGTCGACGTTGTCAACGATAGTCACTCAAAAATCGATGCTTCAAGGAGAAACTTCGTTCAATCCTGCCAGGAAACGACTCTGCACAGGACATTTCAAGGCAGTGGATGATGTTGTTGCCGTATGGCTCCGCGACCTGCAATCCCAAAACATACCCGTGTCCGGCCCGATGATACAGTGCAAAGCGAAGGAATTTGCTCTGCTTCTGGACGTTCCTGGCTTTGAAGCAAGCAGCGGATGACTTACCCGATTTCAGCATAGGCATAGGATCGCGTGGAAAACGATTTGTGGTGAAAGCAAGGATGTCGACCATGAAGCTGTGGGAACTTAGAGGGCTGAAAAACTATTGAATATCATTAGTGGATATTCACACAATGACATTTACAACGCCGACAAAACTGGCATGTTTTATCAGGTTCTTCCAAACAAGACAATGGCATTCAATAATGACAGTTGCGAAGGCAAGAAGCAATCGAACTGCTGTTGTGCTGCAACGCCAGAGGCAGCAACAAGCCAAAGCCCCCAGTGGTAGGAAAATACGCGAAACCGCCATGTTTTAAAGGTTTTCCTTTACTTCCATGCACATAAAGAAGCAACCAAAAAGCATAGATAACCAAGAATCTCTTCACTGAGTGACTGCTGAGCATCAAGGAAGAAATTAGAAAGGCAAAAGAAAGATTCTTTTGATTGTAGACAGTTGCTCCGTACATCTTGTCGATCTCCATTTGAGCAATGTACGTGTCGAATACCTCCAAGTTGCACTGCCGTGCTTCAACCGCTCAACTAGGGCATCATATGGAACTTGAAGGCCGAGCGATGATGTAATGGTGTTTCGTGGCTCAAGGGCCAAGGCTGGCCAAAGAACGACAAGTCAATTTATGTTGGAATGTCGATGAATCATGAGTAATAATGTGTTAATGATATAGTGGCTGTAAAAAGACCTATAAGAGATGTACAACAAATGGAAGTGTAGTGAAGAGGAATGCCCACTACTAAAGCGACATCGACACGTTGGCGTGAGGCACGAACTAAGACTGCCTGGTTGTTGCTGCGACGCTGCCCGTACACCCGGCCAGCTCTTGCTGCTTTTGTACAGACGCTGATACCGCTTTTGACTTTGCATTTACATTATATTTTGGTGGAGAGTGCTGCGGTCTTTCCCAGTCCTGGAACTGCGTAGCCGAAAGCTGCCGTCCGTCATGCCTGACGACGCTGTCTTCACACCCCCACCGGCTTCGCCACGCAGGAGCTGTCCCGGTGCCCAGCTCTTGCGAGAACCCGACATCTTCAGCGGTACTGATGAGAAAGACGTTAAGGATTGGCTGGAATCTTATGAACGAGCCAGCGCTACTAACAAATGGGACGATCCCACAAAGCTTGGTACCGTGATGTTTTATTTAATAGATGTTGCCAAGCTGTGGTACAGAAACCATGAGGCGAACATCCCCACATGGACGACCTTCAAAGCCTGCATCACAGATGTTTTTGGACGCCCTGGGGGGCGCAAACTTCGCGCAGAACGTCTACAAAGCTGGTCCCAACAAACTGGCGAATCATTCACTAGCTACATCGAGGACATCCTCGACCTCTGCCGGCGTGTCGACCCAACGATGGCGGAAACTGACAAGGTACGACACATCATGAAAGGCATTTCCGACGACGCCTTTCAAATGCTGCTCTCGAAGAACCCTGTCACCGTCTCTGAGCTCATCGAGTTGTGTCAGTTTCGACGAGCTCCGACGACAGCGTCTTCTCACGCGACGCCCTAACGTCGCAGATGACACACTCTCAAGCCTAACCACCACACCTGACCACGAGTCCCTGCTATCGCAGATCAAGGAGTTTGTTCGTGCTGAAGTCGCTCTTCAGCTATCGCTGCTATCGACAGTCGGCCAACCACAGTCACCCCTTCCAACAAACCTCCGCCAGGCCATCCAGGAGCAAGTTTGCGCGGCTCTGCCATCTGCCCGTGACGCTTCACCGTTGCCGACTCCCATTGCCTGTGCAGAGGTAAATGCACCTCTAAGCTATGCTGAAGTGGCCGCTCGACCACCTCTTCAGACTTTTACGTCACTGCCATCAGCCGTGCCACCGCGACCTACTACTGCTCGGTTCGCTCAGCCAAGGTTCCCCCAGAGTAGTGGACAATGGCGTACAGTCGACAATCGGCCCATATGCTTTGCCTGTGGCCTACCTGGCCACATAGCGCGATACTGCCGTCGACGCGTCCCTGTCTACCACCAGAGCTTCGAACCTGCCCCTTATGTGCCACCGCGCCCTTCGTTCACAGGATCTCAGCCTCCTGACCAGATGTCACCATACGCCGACCACCGCCCTCCTGTTAAACGTCGCTCGCCATCACCTTGACGCCACTCGCCATCCACGATGCGTCATCGTCCTTCATCGCCGGAGCGGGAAAACTGATTGCCGCAGTTCCAGAGGCAGGAACTGCGTCACCCGCGAAAAGAACAAGGCCTCTCTGTTCCCCAACGAATGTTCTCGACGTATATGTGGACGGCGTCGCTGCACTTGCTCTTGTCGACACTGGTGCCGCAGTTTCAGTGATCAGTGCCAGACTCTGCCGCTTGCTCAAAAAGGTTATGACGACAGTAGCAAGTATATCACTTCGTACAGCCAGCGCAGAGCACGTCAGGCCAGCCGCTGCCTGTACTGCTCGCATCGCGATTGATGGCCTCATCTATGGCGTTGATTTACTAGTTTTGGATTTGTGCTCCCATGACCTCATTTTGGGTTGGGGCTTTCTCTCCGCTAACAAGGCAGTCATCGACTGCTCTCGCGCTGAGGTAGAATTTGAAGTGTTTGGCGACGCGCCGTTAAATGATGCTCTTGAAACCGGGGACAAACTATTTGTTGCTGAAGACGTCATCATATCGCCGCACTCTTTCGCCCTTACCATGGTATCTTGCAACTCGCTCGCCGAGTCGAGTGCCCTTTTCACGCCATCTGCTTTTTTCGTTCGCCGCTACCTTATGCCCTTCTAGAACTTCATGACGGCGTCAGCAGACTGCTCATCTCGAACCTCTTGTCATGTCCTGTAACACTACTTCGGGGTGAGTGCGTCGGGTGGGTTTACAGTCTGGACCCTTCTGCAATTTTTGACATGTCGACTGGTCTTTCCGCCAAACACGAAGTCGCCGGAATGACTTGTGCCTCTTCGCCGCAGACTACTAGGCCTGACGTACTCAGCAGCTCCATCGCCGACACGTTAACCATTTCGCAACGTGCTCAGCTTCTACGACTGCTGGAGAAGTTCCGTTCTTCCTTTGACTGCCAGCATACTCCCCTCGGCCGCACGTCTACTGTGTGTCACTGCTTCAATACGGGTACCAATGCGCCATTGCGTCAAAGACCCTATCGCGTGTCCGCAGCCGAGCGCCAGGTTATCGATGACCAAGTAGCTGACATGCTCAAGCGTGGCGTCATCCAGCCTTCGAATAGCCCTTGGGCATCTCCAGTCGTTCTCATTAAGAAGAAGGACGGGTCAATTCGCTTCTGTGTTGACTACCGTCGTCTTAACAAAATAACTCGAAAAGACGTTCATCCCTTACCGAGAATCGACGATGCCCTTGACTGCCTCCAAGGTGCAGAGTACTTCTAT